ATCTTTTTCGCTATTTCTTCTGCCTCAAAACCTTTTCTGGATCTGGGTCCCCCAAAGTGGTCGGCGGTGTTTATCTGCAGCTGAGGGATGAAATGGTTAGAGAATACATACAAGTGCCTCTCAACACGTAGTTGAAAGGATAGAATGCTAGGTGGTTTTATATTAGAAATGCTGAACCGAGCCTGTCTGCCAGCATAGACCACTTAGTAGTGCCAAGCGTAAACTGGTCGGCAAGACCGAACAGTGAGGAGATGACCCAGGTTGCTGAGCTTCTGCAGATTCTAGGTCAGATGCGAAACAATCTTAACGGAATTGGTGTAGCCATCAACTTCGTCTGCCACCGGATTCAGCCGAGCAAGGAGAGAGTCCACCCTGCGTATGAATACGCAGGTGATGAAGATACCACTCGGGAAGCCCCTGAGAGGATAAGTTCGGATGTCGCCTATGCTCGCTTCCTGGAGCTTTTTTCAACTAACACCCAACTTTGCAATGTGGGGCAGCAGAAGGCATTCAACATCACGAATCCACTACCACGGATAAGAGTGTACCATTTGAAGTCCGTATAATGTCAAATCTTAATGATGTTAAAATGTCTACTTGAAAACTTGTGGGTAGGATCGTGCTGTGTATGTCTCCGACATGCCGGATGGCACCTGGCCAAAGGGCGTAGATGCCCGTCTGACCCAGGCTCCTGCCGTTCCGCCATCAGAGAGCAGTTCGTCGTCCTCATTCGAGGACGTGGTGCAGAAACCTCCCAGGCTTCGGCAGCCACCTTGCGGGAAAGAGCCAGCCCTAGAAGAGCCAGCGAAGAAGAAGAAAATGAACAATCCGGCAGCACCCAAGGGTGGAATCTCGGTGAGAAAGCCTTCGGCCAGCCGACAAGTCATCGAGGACTGGTCGGACGATGATAAGGACGCAGGCGAGACGCTGCAGCGGAGAGCTGTGCGGATGGCCGCTCCGGCACCGATCGCCAGAGCCTCCGACTAACTAGCCCAAGGCGCTGCAGGCCAGAGCCTCCGGTGTTCTCAAGATTTGTATTGGTGACTGGAGGGCAGGGGAGTTCCAAAAAGCCCCAGCCATTCAGGGCTGCATGTAGGCAGTCCAATGAGAAGTGTTTCTGCTCTAGACTTAGTCCAAGCAAAACCAGTGTGGAAGTATCGATGATAAGACATCATGTTGCAGGGAAACATCGGCCGAGGAGCTTCACTCAGTTGACGTTAGCACTGCTCGGCGGGCGGCCAAGCCAAGTGCCATGACGACCGCTACTCAGGGTGCTGAGGTGGGACAGCCAGAAGAAACACGAGAGGTAGCTGTAGACTAGGCTGGTCCCCAAAACGAAGTCCCCAAGCACCCGGAGCGAATGAACGAAGATGTTGCTGCTGAGCCGAGCAGTCACCTAGGGCCAGGGGCCAGTCCCCAAGCTCAGACGCCAGGGATGGAACTTATCCCCTTCGTCCGACCATGAGCCAGCCGAGCACCAAGGCAGGAGAGGGAGTCCCCCGAGGTGATTGAAGAAATTGAGCGTGAAGCGCCAAATACCCAGGATCCTCCTCCTTAGCTTTTACGGACCTTCGTATGCCGTGGAGATACGATGGAGGTGGTTAAGGATGAGAAGGCGAGCGAGTAGATGAAGAAGCTCAGGGCTGGAATAGCGTCGGTGTCTGGCCAAATTGAAGTAAGTCAGTCTACGCAACCAATTGAGATTGCAGATTATGCCTGTTAACTGCTGGTCACCGTAGGAGGTAGTGAAGATCTTCAAGAGCCACAGACGCCAGCTAGAATGGGCAGCTTCGTCGGTTGCCAAAAACCAGAGGTTACGTGAGTCTGTGAAGACTCTGGAGAAGATGCTGGCTGGAGCACACGCCGACCAGGATAAGCTACGAGCAGAAAAGACGCAACTTGAAGCGGAGAACTGGGAGCTGAAGAATCAGCTAGGCGATGGCGTAAGTCGAGGAAAAAGTAAGGCCTTAGTCCCTTCGGTGTATTGCTTTCATATCTTTAGTTTGCCCATGCTAACTGAAATCTTTTATTGGTGTAGAGCTTGTTGAAGCTCTGAGGCAGGCGGTGGCCGAAGCGGGTTTGGCACGTGCTGCCAAGATGGAGGGGGAAACCGAAACGCGCTTAGCGCGTGACGCCAAGGCGGAGGCGGAGACCCAAGCTCTGCTAGCGTGGGAAGCCACAGCGCTAGTGGAGAAACAAAGGGATGAAGCTCGGATGGCAGAAAAATGACTCACCGACGAACTGCAACGTGAGTTATTCTTCATGTTAATACTCATCTTTCTATGAGAAGCTTTTTAAGACAATTGCTCTCCTTGTCTACAGTGATCCGAACCAATAGTCAGGCGTAGTTTCACGACTTCGCGCTCCGGCTGGTGGCCAGTAAAGAGACGATGAAGGCCATGACTGACGGGATTAAGCCCGTGCTGGACCTCATCGACCCACAGTTGCCGGAGCCCGACAGGTGACCGCAGTCAGATGTCATCATGGAGAGGTGCAGGTCGGCGCTGGAGAACTTCAAGCATTACGCTCATGGTGATGCTTGTTCTGCCGCAGGCCATGCACTGGCGGTTGTCCAGTCATTCTACCCCTCAGTGAAGATCGAATGAATCGATGGTGGCTTTGCCCGAAATCTAAGCAACGAGCAAATCACCACGCTGGAGGAGGAGGTGTCTGATTCGGCAATCAAGCTGGCGGATGACTTGGATCTGTTCGACGATGCTGATCCTCAACCATGATGACATGTAACAAATTTATCTGCATTATGCCGAACGGCTATGTATGAAACATTATGTTTAAGATATACGAAATGTTAATATTTAATATTAACAATGCATTGTTAGTCCTTTATCTTGTTATCTGCCCCAGTTATTCCACACCCCATGGCGTTAAGAGCTTAGCTCCTGTGCGCACTTAAGAATATAGGTATCGCCGAGGAGCCACTGCCGACTGCCCATGACGCAGAGCACTATTGCCCTTGCACGTCTAGGTGCTAGACCGAGAACAGGACTTCTTCTGGATAACGCGAAGGAGAACGTGGCTGGTCGGTGAATCGAAGGGTGATAGTATATGTCATCTTAAAGATGTTTAGTATGGAGAAATAAATAACTTGAAAAAAATTATGGGAAACAAATGGAAAAAATGTCATAGATATAATTATTATTGAAATACATAAAAATGTACATATCTTTAGTAGAACGTCTCAAGGATAGAAACGCCTAAGGTGTTCGATGCGCCATGAATTAGGGGTGTCGACGCCGTCTTGATCGTAGAGCCTATATGACACTGGTCGGGTCATAGCTTTTATATGTATGGACCTTCTTAGAATTGGCGATGCAAGCCTCCATTCTAGCCGAGAGGTCCATCGCTTTGGCGACGACAAGTCCTTCTCTTTCGCATTCGTAGGCGGTGGAGACGTTGGCGAGCAGGGTGAGGACGCCCTTCTCCGTTGGAATTTTCAACACCAGATAGACATAATGGGGCACGGCCATGAACTTGGCGAGAGCTGGTCGGCCAAGGATGGCGTGGTAGGCGGTGTCGAAGTCTATCACGAAGAAGTTCACGTACTCAGTACGAAAGTGGTCGGCGTTGCCAAACTGGACTGGCAAGGTGATATGCCCCAAAGGTTGGGACGCTCTGCCAGGTACAATACCCCAAAATGGAGAATCAACATGGACGAGATCGTCCTTTGTGAGGCCTAACTCAATTAGGGCTCCAGCGAAGAGGATATTGATGGCACTCCCACCATCAATGAGGACCTTCTTGAACCGCACGTTGCGGATGGTTGGATCCAGCACGAGTGGGAAACGCCCGGGGTATGGATGGATGCATGAGAAGTCCATAAGTCAAGGAAGCGAGAGACCCAATATGTCAGGCACTCCAACTCCTCATCCAGTCCTTGCATTAGCTTCCTTCTCTTAGTTCCATCAAACGTTCGCCATGTGCTTGGCATGAAGATGCTTGCTCTTTCAACCTGAATGTATGTAGTGCCATGCTTAGACCTCCATAGCATTCGGTAGACTGTTGCTTCCTCATTCTGGCAGAAGAAATCTATTGCTTTTGGCAGCATGATCTGCTCAAGTTGTCCCAAGGTAAATACAGTATGCAAACAATTTTGCTCCTCACTGTTGGTTGCCGCTATTGCAGTGCAGGAAACTTATCCACAAGCAACATGTCTTCTGAAGAGCCATGTGGTGCAAAGAGGACTCCAGCTCTCTAATATGGGTGATCATGTAGAGAACTTCTACATCTGGCAAGTGACGCCCCCTGTTTGTCGGACTCTGAGAGTGAGACTTGGCACCACAGACCTACATGAATAACCGTTTGTAGAGAAACATATGGTAATCCAGATGACTTGTCTAGCTTGCTACTATGACAAAGGTTGTGCTTATCATGTTGCTTGCAACATATATGATGGGTTTGGGCGAAACCATTGACGACCAAATCTGTGAACATTGTCCCAATATTTTTTCTGGTGTGAATCAACATATGGTACCCACAAGAAGTCTTGAGTAGGTAGTTGCGTAAGGCTTTTCCTAATATTTTCAACCGTAGACATGAAAAGAGGGGCAAACAGCTGTAAGCACTGAATTGCAACCCCGACTATGTGTGTACTCTCCGAAAGCTGTAGCGTTACAGTAAAGCAAAAGCTGTCATCTGGCACATTACGATATTTCTGCACGAAGAAAAGCCTACCTTCTATTCCATGCTCTGCACTAATAAAATGGCGCCAACAGTAGAAACAAAAGGGCATTTGTTTGCTCTAATGATTCTATGCTTTAGTATCTTGCCAGCAAGAAGGTGCCTGATAAGAGAGTCAAAGGGCATGTGACACCAGGGCATGCCACCAAGTTCTAGTAATCTCAGAAACTCGCTAGCACCATCAACAAACCATTCAAATATTTGAACAATGGATCTATTCGAGTCGTCGTTGTCGTGGTTAAAGATAGAAGAAACGAATGACCTGGTAGCATGCACAACCCGCTTAATTAGGAAGGGAGAAATTACTTAGTTCCTTTTATGTGTTCATCTTCTAGGATTCTCTGCCTGCATCTGTGCAGCGTGTCATCGCACTCTTGAGCAACAGACTTAAGCTTCCTACGCCAACGCAACAAGGATGTATCAGTAATATCCCACTTGTCAGATCTCTGGAGAACAGCCTCCAGCCTGATGTATGCCATCTCTAGCCTCTCAAGGTTTCTGAACCCATTTGAGCTGTGTTTCTCCTCATATTTTTGAAGCAGACCAGATAGGATTTGGCTAACTGACTCCTGAACAACTGCAGAACCAACAATCTCCGCCATTAGGATTGAAGCATCTGCAAAAATATCCCTTCCATGTCCAGGATATTCAACATACAACAGTAGTAATGAGATTTAGATACATGAACTTTGGATCACAGGCAATGATTTAGCTTAATGGGGGTAAGAACCTACCTTTGATTGAATTGCAGACGTGAATGGTGGACACCTATCCTGTGTATAGATATGTCTTGGGGCGGAATCGCACGGCATGGTAAGATGAGAACTTAAAGAGAACACAGTGATGTCCAAGGCTTTGAGGGCGGATGTGTGCATGATGGTCTCTGCAATGGAAAATTTGGTCAAGAAGTCTTCGTCAACGATGAGAAGATCTAGCTACTTATTCCATGTTTGAATGCACTAGGCCAACAGGCATGAAGTTGACAGAACTGAAAGAGTTGCATTGAAGTTTCGTGGAAAATCATTTGTAGAATGGTGCGGTAACACACAAGGGCAGGAAAAGAAGAAGGTGAAATACTGTACAGCCTAGAAATATTTCGTCCACACAGCACTAGACAAGGATCTTGGAAAAGTCATGGTTGCTTGTCGCTGGCACATTTATATGAGTCGTGGTCAATTCATTTTCAGGCCAGCCTAGTATTTTGACCGATGCCTGATCAACTCACTAGCATTTTCTCTTATTTCTCACTTCTCAATGTCCCCCCTAATTGCTTGATGCCGTGTAAATTCGGTCCAGCAAACTACTGTCAAAGTGTCAATGAAAAATGACAGTGGTTGATACACAAAATTGCAACTGAGCGGCCGTGGAAAAAAAGGACCATGTCTGTATAAAATCGAACACAAAACTGCAATTACGGAACAAAAAAGGGATTGTCTCTGATGCATAAAATGGTTCAGAAATACGCCAAAGATAGGTTAGCTCCTCGTAGGCTAGTTCGATCACAGTCCCTCTTGTTGCGAATTGCAATTCATCAACTATTCAACTAAGCCAGGCTACTCTACTCGTGCTGCAATCGGAACAGAACAGGTTGCATCAACTATTCAAGACAGGCTAACTCTACTCCTGCTGCAATTGGAACAGAACAGGTTGTAGCTTGTGGGCTTGAAGGTGGGAGGCAAATCGACCGTACCTTGACTCCTCGAGAGTGCCTGCGCCTACGCGTGTGGTGGGGGCGGGTGGCGGCGCCTCGGCCATCCTCTCTGGCAGCCGGCGGCACACGCTCTACCTCCTCCCCAAGGCGCTTGGCGCTCATGTCATCGTCGATGTGGAGTTGGCAGCTGAGCCGGGCCCAAAGTCCCCGCGGTCTTGTCTTTGCCCAACGTGTTGTTTCAGGTTTTCAGGTCTCATTTTGGATTTTCCCATTTTGCTTCCCAGCAGAGCTTCTGTGTATGCAGAGTCCATATGGCGACCAGTATGTCTCCTTTCTCATAAAAAAAGTCCAAATGTGTTTTAAGGACTTATTCAGTTTTTCATTTCAAACACAGTTACAAGTGTCCATACTACTAGTTTTCTTAAGTCTAACGTATTAAGTTCTTGTACAAAAGATTAGCCTGTGCAAATTCTAAACCCCCGGCCCAAAAGTTCTTTATCTCCTAAATAATTTTACAAAGCAGTCCTTAGAGACAACAAGCTAACTGTGTGCACTACTACAAAAACGATTTTCAGAGACAGGAGGTATTTTTAGGCAGAGGCCGCTCCTATTGATCCGAGGAGCTGCCTCTATAGTGCCCTGTCGAATAAACCGCCTCTAAAGATGATATTTAGAGACGGCTCCAACCCAGTTGTCTCTATAAATCTATCTTCAGAGATGGCTGGTGTCTTTGACAGTCTCTAAAAACATGGGGTTTTCAGAGGTGGCTAGAGACCACAGCCACCTCTCAAGATAGATTTGTATACGTGGCTAGGATTGGAGCTACCTCTACATATTCTCCACTGTATAAGTAGCAGCCCTATTCTTCCACCTTGGGAAATTTACTGTACTCGAGGTGGAAGGAAGAGGACCTTAAAAAGTTGCAAATCTAAGGGGGAAGGTTTTTATTTTGATTCCTTTGGTAAAGGAGGCTTTAAAAGGTAAGTACGTACTAATCCAAGCTCCTTTTTGAATTTTTAGTGGTAGATTAGTGTGTAATTAGTGTTCTCAGTTTCTCTCTTCCATGGTGGTGGAGACATTTATGGGTGCATTATTTATATGAAAATATTTGAAGATAGGGTAAATTTAGTAGCGAAACAAGATTCTAACATATTAGGAGAATACCCCGCGAGTTGCTGCGGGGATTCCAGATAATTTAAAAAGAAATTAGACTATTTATATTTATAGTTATATGAATGAAACCATCTTAAATTAATTTTGGTGAATGATTTGACACATCGATGTGAACAGAATGCATGTTAGTGGATGAAGAGATAACTATCATAATTACATGTCCTAGTTGGTTATAGTTGCAAGTTCTAGTAGATTGTTGATATGGATAGCTTGCATGTTGAGAGAAATCTCTAGTGGGGTTTAGCTTTATAAGAGTACTAGGTTCGTGCCGTGCGTTGCTACGGGTCAGCTAAACTTTTATACTAAAAACACACGGATAACATAATAAGATAACTTAAATATACAAATTCATATCGTGCAATTAAACCTCACAGTCCCTCGTTAAGATCTGGTCCAAATCCAAGATTATGATTTTCTCGGTCCCGGCACTCTTATCACGAACTTAAGTGACTTTTGTATCAAAGTGCCACTTCCATGCCACAAATGACACTCCAACTGATCCATCGTAAATATAGTTTTGTAACTATTAATTTTCTTATATTGTGATACTTGTTAATTAGAAACCAATCAATGGTGGTTGTAAGCAACAGAAGAGCATGTTCAATTTTGAAAATATAAGGTATCTTGATTGTATACACCGAATACATTATTGGTTGTTTCTAATAGTTCATATCTAAAAGAGACATATCAAAATCAACAGGGACTGCTATAGGAAAAACAAAGATCTCCACCCTCCATGTCACAAACCACTTTTCCTGCAGCTGCAGGTGAGCTCGACACCTGCAACCCCATGCTCCTAGCCCTAACTTGCGGTGACTCTGAGCCGCACGCCCGGTGGCGAGTGCGGCCGGCACGTGGTAAGGTTTCTGAATAAATAACTTAAACTGAGGAGTCATATTATTCAAAAAAAATCTATTTGGAATAGCATCATCATGCAGTTTAATGTATACAATCTATTTAAATTACATTGAGGATGTTTCAGTTTATTCAATAGCGCCCTTTGTTTAGGAGACATTGCAGCTTTTCGTGATTGATCACACTTACGCTCTATTGGACACGTGACAAGCCGGTTGATGGGACTGGGTGCATATCCAGAACCTATATATCATGGACTGACATCTTAATCAACGCACGCTAGGATATCAGGCAATTGTAACAAACAAACACGGGCACGATTAACTAGAATATCAGGCGATGGATACAAAAGTGTACCCGTTTCATCATGAACAATGCTGATATCTTCCTCACTGTCAATGTCTTCAACGTCACCAGTGCCACCAATGCTGCTTAAAAGTACCGGGCCATCTACAAATATAGCCATATAATAAAAATTGAACAATACAATAAGCACACTATGTCACCACGATAATTTCAGTCGCGCACCAATAAATACTTTTATTAGCAGAATAAGTAACCTGATAATTGTTGGAAGCCATTACCGTAGGTTGATTGCCTATGGAGCCTATCACTATTTTCATCTGTTTCATTAGTTATATTCCCATCTGCAAGTTTAAACATAGTATAAATTGTTATTAATTATAACACGTATGGAAATTAAAGTGACACTCAGCAACATCACCATACCTGTTGAATGGGCAGCCATATTGTTATCAAGATCAACATTCTCTTGGTTATTCATCTTATACCTTTTGACTGCGTTTCTTGTTTCTTTCACTCCTCTTTTCATCAGACAATGTTGCATACCGTTCTCTCTCCCTCTGCCTCTTCTGCTCATTAGGATCTCCATCTAGTGGCAACAACCCTAGTCGGGTATGATTTCCTTTAATAAAGTTTGATGAGGAGTGGCAAACATATGAATATAGAATATGTACAGAGGTTGTAAAAGTTTATATACCTCCATGTATTGTATTTGTAAGGTCCCCCAAAGGTACCCGATCACCGGTTGGCCTTGGCGTGTCCATCAACACTACTTGTCACTTATGTAGCTTATATAAATGTGTCTAGCATTTGGGAAACCATGAGCATGAAATATAGTTGGACACGCTGCATCAAATTTGCATGAGGACTATGCATGAAGCAATTAAGAACAAACAGTAATATTGAGTTATTTTGTGTCGTGAGAGAAAATCTCCTTACTCATTCATGTTACTTTGAAGTACAACTGTTCCATGAAAATGATAGGCATCCATTACTCAATAAGTGGCAAATCAAATACGGAAAACAAATGTGATTCATATACAGGAAGATCTACATGTCACACTGCTGAATTTGTATGTGTTATCCTTACTCATGATTTTTTTTTGGTTGCTGCAGGTTTGTCTCAGATAAGAAACTAACTGGACCACGTAATTATTGTTTCTTTTCCATCCTAAGTGACAACCATGCCTTACTGTTTTCAACTTTTCCATGGCATTTTTTTTAAGTTCTTGCTTAAGAGGTTCCTACAACCACAAACGGTGTACTTAAGAGATCGACGTTAGTGGACTGTGATGACGGGGAGCATATCCATAGCACCAAATGTATATTCTCAATAGTTTAGTTCCTAATTTGGTCAGTAAATTAGTATTAACACTCCTTTGATAATATATTGTTTACAAAAAAATGTATCACGCATGACACTTCATCTATCCACTTAAGCTAACAGCTTTTGATTAAGATGCAATGATATGCATAAACAATTGTACATCACTTAAGCCAACAGCTTTTGATTAAGATGCAATGATCTGTTCTTAAGTGTCAGCAGAGAATATATACACACTTGTGATCTGTGCTTCTCTGTAAAATCTGTTCTTATACACACTTGTGAATTAGTGATGT